AGTATAGTATATATATATATATATATATATATATATATATATATATATATATATATATATATATATATATATATATATATATATATAAGGTTACAGACGGATAATTTACAGTACAGTGTCCACACATCCTTCCCAACGATTCCAAAATCTCCAGAAGTACTCACACGGTAACATAAACAAATGTACGCTTATTTCCAAGTAATTCTATGAACACACACATGAAAATAATAAAAAAGCTTAAAAAAATTCAAAGTGCTGTCGATTTGTAAAGCTAACATTCCAAATAACGTCAACTTTGGTGATCAGGAGGCTTACCACGACGACTGCGTACTGTGTAGGGGCAGAGGGAAATGAAGTACTCTCTCTGTTGGGGAAAGAAGGAGAGAAAGGGAGAGGGAGAGAGAGCGTGAGGATTGAAGAGGGTACCGAGCCGCTAAAGGTTAGTGATAAATGTAATACTAAGAATGCAAGCGTAGTAAAGCGTGGTTAATATGGTACTGAGAATTGCATGGAAAAATATACTGACTGCAGCGACATTGTGAGAGTTGTATATGGACGGCAAGGCTATTTCAAGTACACTTAAACATGACGATAACACCGTACAACCGCATTTGCACTATGAGGGCTTGCGCTGACGCTTCGCAATCGCACAGTGTCGCTGTTCATAGCTTATAAATCAGTAAACGAGCGTCCGCTTTTCCTCTCTCTAACACAGTCGACACCCAGCATCCCTTACGGACTAATCGCTGGAGCGTAGTGCAACTCAAAAATAGAGCTAACTACAAACACAACGCAGCATGCACCTTATCCGCGACATACGCACCGAACAAGGACCGCAAAAACCAATCACCCTGACATTGCAGACAACGAGTACCCTCAACACCCTCCGTTTCCCTCAATGACGCACTTTGTGAACTGCGCGATTGCCCGTTGTGCAAATCTAAATTCCCTGACATTTTAGAGTTGTTGACAAGACAGGGCCCAATTTGCTGGGGACTGAAATGGACGATGAGGTGAGGGAGAGGGGTACATACAGCGCATTCACATGCACGTGCGTGAGTGGAGAGTATAGGCCAGCTGACTATTTTCAGTAGGTGCTTTATTTGAACTTTGTTCGAAAAAAGGATGCCGTGCTGGTATATATCGTTCATATTAGTGATATCAGCAGCAAGTCGTCCAAAATTTTCATCTTATGGGCAAAGGAAGGTAAAGGATAGCTTTACTTAGGTACCGAGAATATTTGAACTGCAGGAGGGGATACCAACATCTTAAAATATAAGGCAAATAGAGGTACCTCAGTAACTGAGTTATCATTTGTTGTCAGCAGCTTCGATCCCAAATGGATTCCAAATATGATTAAGTAAATTATACCGGCCAGTCTGTAGCAGTTTAAAATCAAATGTAATTGCTATCAATTTTGTTTGAACTGATAACCATCAATCTTGGTACAGCTGAAATGAAATTAACTACCGTGATAACAGATGAGCCTTCATTCTCTGATATACATCAGAGATAAATTTCATTCCAAGCATGTTTGTAAATTGAACAGTTGATACCGTTCCATGAGTCCACTGTAAGCAGATCGATGATAACGCATCTGACAAAATGTTGGCATGGATACTGCCCTATAAGCGAGGCTGTGCTGTCTTTCAGCTTACAGTCCATATTATACGCCTACTTTGATTTGTTGCACTGAAGCTATCAACATATTCATTTGTGAAAGGTCTTTTTAACA